CTTCTCTTCGATATTGCAGGCAGTAACAATCACTGCGTTGTTTATTCTCGTCAACAACTCAGTGGTATGTATTTGGATGTGAGCCTGAAACGATGATATTTTCCATTCCAGGAAATATCGCAGCTAGGAACTGCAAATGGCATTTCAACCAGCCTCGTTTCTCTCTCTCGAGCTTTAGGCCCTTCAATTGGAGGCTTCATGTAAGTCCCTCAGGTTTCGTTCTCAGCATATGTGCGTTTGTTTCTCGTGTAGATTCTCGTGTGCCCAGGCCCGACCAGACACCACATTTCTTCCTGGTAAACAATGCGAATGCTTGCTCGCAAGTTTACGCTCCCTCTCTACAGGTAATCAGCTACTATTTTCTTTCCTTGGCGGCTTTGCGATCGTCGTTTTCCTTGGAACTTGGGAGCCAATTCTTCCTAGCTCTACCAATAAACCAAAATTCCACCATGTATAGTCAAGTCAATATAATGTTAGTTGGATTATTGAGATCTTATTCTTTGTAGAGTTCCTGACAATCTCTATTCAGAACATTTACGCGGCCGTCGCGTTAGAGGGGTTTGAGTGTTGTTCAACAAGCGGGAGGATGTGAAACTGGGAGGGATGGAGCACGGCCAAGTTCTTCAAGTAGGTGCGTAATGCGATCCTCTCCGACACACCTCACACATGCCGTGTCAGCGCTTCATCCTCGACATCGGCGCATGCCATCCTTGCAAAAAAGTTGTGGTTCTTGTATTTGGAACTAAAATAGTTTTAAAGTACACGATCCAGGACAAATCGCAGCTAGGAACTGGCAAGCCATGTAAATGGCATTTCAACCAGCCTTGTTTCTCTCTCTCTCTCGCTCTTTAGACTCAATTGGAGGCTTTGCGTATGTCCCTCAAGTTCCATCCCTCTGAGCATATGTGCGTCTGGTTCTCGTGTAGATTCTCGTGTGACCACACGTTGCATTTCTTCCTGGTAACTCTCCTTCCTCGCACTACGCTCCCTCTCCACTGGTGGTCAGCGATGGTCGTTTTCCTTGGAACTCGGGAGCTCGCTCTACCAATAAACCAAAAATATTGCTAGAATATTATCGTCTTAAATTATGGTGTTCATCTTTTTAGGGTTCTTGAGAATTTGAGAAGACCATGCCGAGGGAGTCATTCAGAACCAAATACATTCGTGCGGTCGGGGTCGCGTTGGAGAAGACAGAGCACGAGGACGATCTCGACTGGGAGGCGTTCAACAAGCGGGAGGATGTGACACTGGGCAAGGGATGGAACACGGCCAAGTTCTTCAAGTACCACGAGTGCGAGAAACTGTGCTGCAGGTGCGTGATGCGAAGCGGAAGGGTGTTCCTCTCCGACGCACACCCGCACTGCGAGCTCGTCAGGGAGAAAGTGCGCCGCGCGATTGATCCACCTGTGGACGCGATCCCCTCCCTCTTCCACCCCGACAAGAGGAGCATCCGGATGAACATGTTGGGTGGATACGAGCCAACGGTTTCCCGCACCGAGCGTCCGGATCGTCGTGCTCTCACCTCCAACTTGCCCTGCCAGCGCTTCATCCTCGACATCGGCGTGTGCCAGACGCTGCCGGAGCTGCTCTCCTACACCGATTGCTACTTCAACGTCCACGACTCCAGAGTGCAGATCTTCCTGGCGCTCAAGTTCTACTACCGCGAGTCTGATCCTGCTGCTCTGATGCCCATGCTGGCCGTGGTACACGAGCGGATGGAAGATGGTAGCGTGGCGTGCACTACTGCGGTTTCATTCGGCGAGCAAGGCCTGCGTCCCAAGACTCTGGAGTTCCTGAGGAGCAAGGGGATCGAGGTGACTGGCGTTGGGCTTGGCGGGCCTGCCTGTGACCAGCCTGGCTTGCCCGAGTACGAGCTCAGACTAGCCACCACCAAGATGCTCCAAGGCGGTCCTTTGGATTCTGACAGCATCAAGGAGCGATTTGGCGATCACATAAAACTGGATCTTAAGTGCATCCAGGATGCCTACTTGAAACGGGCCAAGGGTCCTCCCAACTATTGTTTCTAGCTATCACAATCTCCACAAAATTCTACAGACTCGTAAGTGATTAGGATCTTCAGCTTGTACGGGTACTTATATTTTCTAGCATACAGATTGATTGGATACACAAGTGAACCCTAAGCGATGGCGAGCGGAGATTCAACAGGGGTGCTGGAATTTGCTGATGCAAATGTTCTTAACTAGGCGTTTCACATTTGGCACAACGGGGATTTTGGAACAATCAACAATTTCCGCCTTCATGTAAGCTGTTTTTCTGTTTCTTGTTTTGTGGATGAAAACAATGCCCGTGTCTATTGTTGCACAAGGTGGAAGCTATTGCAATCGAGTGGACAAACAACCACCTAGAGAAGTGGACAAAGGCTCTCAAACTTATGCTCTGTAATCTTAAATGGTCACTGTTTTGGCTGATAGAGGAACACACTATTTCAACCAGCTTTCCTCACAATCAGTACGTATATCCTGTCTTATATTGGTTTGAAAGATTAGCTTTTTAATCTTCCTTGTACCTTTTTCTTTTGGCTAAAATCTCTTCTTATCAGTTTAATAGCTAATATGTAAACTGAAGACAATCCAGTGACAACAGAATAAACTTGGTGACAACTAAGGACAAACAAAGACAACCGAGGACAATCAAAGTCACAACTAATGGACAATGAAGACAAACTAGTCCGTGTGGTACTGCCCAAAAAATTGAGCCAACTTTCTTGGTTATAAAATATTCACTAGAATCTTCTTGGCTATGGAATGGCCATGGGTGGGATCATAGCCCTTTCCTGTCCACTTTCCACACACCTTTGCCCTGGTGCACCTGGGAGGCTTCACTAGGATTCCCAGTACCATAGATTTCTTCTAATGCATGCTATGAGTTTGGTTATGAACAAGAGGCTTCACTGAATGAGTCTTAAAAGCTTGGTCACAAACAAGAGGATGCCTCTAAAAAATAAGCAATTTCTGTTCCTAAGGTTTGTTGCAATTTCTAATGTGAAGACGGTGGTTCCAAGCTTTCTCTAGGACCATAATGTTTTGTAAATCCAAGAATGAGTAGTGAAGAACTCATTAATACATCAATTCTTACATGCCCAAATTTGTTATACCTTGTGAAATGGTTAAACATGCAGCATAAATATAAGGAAAACATACTCTGAACTTCCTTCAGTAACTACTAGTGATTTAGTAGAGCCCTTGCCAATAGCTGTGAAGGCCTAAATTAAGAAAGGCAAAGAAATGAAAATTATTATCCATCTTGCTTTGCTTTAAAGAGACAAACAAGCTCTTTAAACAACATCAAACTGATGCAACCTACTAAATGAAACCTTCTTGCACTACTAGCAAAAACCCCTATAAATACAAAACCCTTATCTCTGCTCCTATGTGCAATTGGTCTCCAACACAATAACCCATTGACATTGCAAAAATGAAAAAAAGAAAAAGAAAGTGGTAGTCATGCGGAGGTTCCATATATTATATAACTTGGATTAATTTTTGGTTTGCTTAAGCAAATCTGAGAATATACTTAGATATTCTAGGATATTTTACCATCTAACGGTTGTTATTCATTTAGATTAATTTTGTATTTATAATTTATAAACTTTCTTAAACACTTTCTAGTATATTTTTTTATATTCTATTATCTAATGGTTGATATGCAATAATATTAATCTTGTGTTTATAAATTACAAACATGCTTATAATTATAAATTTTATTTGATCAATTAGATTAATAAGTAATAATAAAACTATTATTAAGCAAACTAAATGTTGCCACATGCAATGTATAACATTTTTTTTTTTACTTTGGTTGTCCTCGGTTGATTTTGATTGTCCTCAGTTGTCATCAAGTTGTATTCGCTATTGTCTTAGGTTATAGTTTGCTTTACAAATTACATGCTATAAATATAAATTATAAACCAAGAAATATAAACATTATCAAATTGTTTCGACGGTCACAAACCATGTTTTCCTCATACCTTTAATTTAATAGCTAATATGAACTTAATAGCCCTAAATAAAAACACGTCAGCGCCAGCTATCTAAAATTTTAGGGCGGGATGGCTCTTCGGGGAGCTCACTCGCTGGCTCTGGCGCTTGATCGTCCGAATGCCGGTAGGAGGTGTGTAGCTGCGAGGTGGAATTGGGGCGAGGCGATGGAGCGCGCCAAGAGGAGTGTGCTATTGCCTGCCGCATTGAGTTTGTCCATCGCCCTCTCTTCTGGTGAGTGATTTATGTCAAGCGTACGTTTTGTGTGATCTCCTCGTGTTTCAAGGCCCGACGCTGCTGCAAGCGAGGCCGGAAGGCGTGAACAAGCCGGAATTGCTACCGCGAAGCTACACTCCAGTGATTGACGTCGCTGGATTTCTTTCAGAAGGTCAGGTAAGCAAGAAATTTCTAGCGAGCAAACTTTTCTTGTTCCTTTCCTTTTACTTTAATGTTCTTGCTTGGTTTCTAGGAGGGGCGCATTGCCCAGGAAATCAAAGAGATAGAAGAGCTCACTGGATTCAAGCTCCGAGTTCTTGCTCAAAACTATCCCAACACTCCAGGTACTTGCCTTTTGCAACTTACAACAAGAACAAATCTGTTGTGATTTTTGCAGGGTTGGCGATCCGAGAATTCTGGAAAGTCGATGACAATACCATTGTTTTCGTTGCTGATCCTAGCCTTGGTACGCACCATCGACTTTGACGCATAGTTCTCACCTATGCAGAATAAAATCGTGACAGGGAACATACTAAACTTCAACGTCGGTGCGTCCGTAGACCTTAATGTTCCTCGCAGCTTTTGGTCGAGGCTGGCGGGCCAATATGGAAATGTATTTTACTGGCGTGAAAAGGTTCGTTGATCAACTTTCTTTTTCTTTCGTTTTTTCTTCACAGTGTAAGGCTTGATATTTCTTTCTCAAGGGAGAAGATGCTTCGATAGAGGCCGCTGTTGCAGCTATCAGCTCGTGCTTGAGAGAACCGCCAGGGCCTAGAGCTTGCAGCACCATAAACTAGCAAAGTCTTCGTGTCATATACTACTACCCAGCGTGAATGGTAGACTGGAATTTGACAAAGACGTGCGCTTGTCGTAGAGAAACGTGTTTCACAGAATCCGCCGTAAGAAGTTTATTCGCCTTTCTTTTCTGTTGCGTGTTTTTGATTCTTTGGTTTCTTCAGGGCTATCTATCATTGAAGTGAACAGAGTCTAAATTATCACTGAAGCATAGAGCCGCTCTAGCAAAGATGCAAGCTTCTAGCAGCAGCAGCAGCAGGATCCATGGTAAGAGGTGGAACCTACGTCTAACAGGCAGGAAGAGGGGAAGTTTAGTAGGATTGGAGCAAGCTAGACGAGGCAAGGTAAAAGGGCATGGAAGAAGCACTTCGTTCATGGTTCACTGTAGCCTGGGAGAAGACAGGCATTTTCACAGGGGGCATTATCTCTACGACATTGCCGATTTTTCGGCCGCGGAGCAGCACGAGCAGCTTGTGTTAGGAGCACCACCTCGACCCCGACGAATCATTCTGGTACGCCATGGCCAAAGTGAAGGCAACATTGATGAAGGTGCTTACACTCGGATTCCAGACTCCAAGATATCTCTCACCGAGGCTGGATGGAGGCAGGCCATAGAATGTGGGAAAAGGATAAGAACTCTAGTCGAGAGTGATGGTGCTCCAGACTGGAAGGTTTACTTCTATGTTTCCCCGTATCGTCGAAGTTTGCAGACGCTCAAAGCGATTGGAATGGCATTCGAGCGAGAGAGAATTGCAGGTGTCCGAGAAGAACCGAGGCTCCGTGAGCAGGATTTTGGTATGTTTTTTATTATTTTTTCCTTGCCGTGAATTTAACTCGGAACCTTTTTCTTTTTCACTTTTTCCACAGGAAACTTTCAAGACCAGGAGCGAATGCGAGTTGAAAAAGAAATCCGGCTGCGTTATGGTCGATTCTTCTACAGGTTTCCAAATGGAGAATCTGCAGCAGATGTCTACGATCGTATCACAGGTATCAAGCACTTTTCGTCTGAAAAGTCCGGTTTTTCTCTTTGCACTTTACAGTTTTCGTACACAGGATTCAGGGAAACTTTGAGAGCAGACATTGACATTGGTCGTTTCCAAAGACCCGAGGACAGGTCAAAAAACGTGAACTTGGTTCTCGTGTCACACGGTCTTACTTTGCGGGTCTTCCTGATGAGATGGTACAAGTGGACGGTGGAGCAATTCGAAGGTTTATGGAACTTTGGCAACACGGGAACCATGGTGATGGAAACCGGGCCTGGAGGACGGTAAGTTTCTCATCAACAACTTAGCCAATACTCTTTTGCTACTCCAGGTATAGCTTGCTTGTTCATCACACACGAGAGGAACTTAAAGCTTTTGGGATGACAGAGTGCATGATTGATGATCAAGAATGGTATCTGAGCTCTCGCTCCAATTTCCAGTCGCTGAAATTCCTCTCCTTTTTATCTCAGGCAAAAGTATGCCAAGCCTGGGGAGCTCAACTACGACTGGCTCACGTCCGGATCAAACTTTTTCAGCCATTTTGATTCCGACAAGGACGAGCTCTCCCAAATGCCTTCCGAGATAAAGAATGCCTCGTCAATGAGAGATTTCTTCCAGCCGGAACCTCCTGTCGGCTGGCGAAGTTGAGAACCAAAATCCTTTCTTCGTGAGAGCTACAAGAGCTACGTGTAAAATATACAGCAGCGAACTTGGTTCTTTTGGGAAGAACCAAAAAATGAGAAAGACAACAAAATTCTTGTTTCGCTATCTTCCTTCCATTGTTTGACTCTGTTGCTCCCGAAACGCCAGGAAATCCCTCTCCCATTCCTGGGACTTGATCAAATAGTTGGACAGCTTCGCGGTAACGTTCTTCATGGGAGGCCGCGACTCCGGGTTGGAGTCGATGCAAAGCCTGGCGAGAGCAGTGACGCTCATCGCCGTGTCCACCGGATACGAGTCCCGGAGCCTGGCGTCGATCCACAGGCGGAGCTTCTTCCGGGGATCACGCTCCTCCATGATCTCCGTCACCTCGTCCGTGAGGGAAACCACCTTGTGCTTCTTGGTCGCGGGATCCAGCTGAACGCCCGGTTGCTTGCCGGTGAGGAGCTCCAGCAGCACCACCCCAAACGCAAACACGTCCATCTTGCTGCTCACCACCCCGCTCGTCTGGTACTCGGGGGACATGTAGCCGGGAGTGCCTGTGATCTTGATGCTGTTCTGCCGGACGAGCTTCCGCCTCGGTAGCCTCTCGTGTTCCTCTAACTTGATCTCGGCGTTCTCCTTGGTCGTGGCGCTCGCGGGGAGAGGCGACGGGATCTCTCCAACCAGCTGCGGGATGCCAAACTTGACGATCTTCGCTCGGAGCTCGTTGGTGACGATAATGTTGGTGCTCTTGACGTGCTTGTGCACGAAAGGCGGCATGGTGTGGTCGTGGAGGTACTCGAGGCCCAGCGCCACGTCCAGCGCGACCTGGAGCCGCGACGTCCAGCTCGCCAGCGCGGAGAAGCCCTCGGCCCTGGGGCTGTGCAGCGCCTCCCGGAGATTCACCCCCTCCTCGTACTCGTAGCAAACGTAGACGTGCTCGCTCTCGCGCAAGCACGCCCCCAGCACCTTCACCAGGTTGACGTGGTGGACGCTGGTGATGATCTTGAGGAGCTCGATGTAGTTCCCGACGAAGCTCCCTTTCTTCTGGACGATCGCGACGTCGGCGCCCCGGACGAGAGCGCGGAACACGGAGCCGCCGATCTTGCTGGCCTCGCTGAAGTTGTCCGTGGCACGGACCAGGTCCTTGTATCGGTAGCGTATAGGCCCGTCTGGGAGGAGGTCCCTGATCCCGGCGAGAGAGCTCGCACTGCTGCTGGACGAGACCCTCGAGTCCCTGGATTCCCTGGAATTGTTGGTCCTGGACTCCTTGGACGCGGTGGTGGTGAAAGTGGTGAAGCCGCCGTCGGTGGTGCTGCCTAGGCTGCTGTCCCGGGCCGCCGACTCCCTCCTCGATGATTTCCTGTCACTGCCTTTCAGCGCTGCTTCTCCTCCTTGGCTGCCTTTCTTGTCTTTCCTACTGCCCGGGAGGCACATTCTAAACATGAGCTCCTCAAACCTGTGCCACTGCTCCTCGCCCGCGCGCCGCGGGATCAACATGAAAGAGGTCTCGGTCCTGTTCTAGAAAATCCTTCCCTTGGATCGAAAATGCGAGGAATTCCTGCCAGGGCTCCAGCTCCAATGCCCCCAAATCGATGGGCGAGAAGTGCGGTGGGTCTCCAAAACCCTAGCGCTGGCGCCACCACCGTCCGCGAAACGCTAACAAAAGAGGGAGCTGGTCCGACGCGTCACTGGAAAAGTCACACGTGGAGGCGCCACGGGGACATCACACTGTGCCACGTCACCCACATCCGTATACTAACTTTGGCTCTTGTAGTATCTTCGTTATTCCCGAGGCGATTATTCTCTTCACTGCTGCTCTCCCATAGTTCTCGCTCCATATCGTTTTTTTTATATGTAATGTATATCTGTATGTGTGAGGGCCAAGTTTCCAAACACTCACATATAAACTCTTTTAGATATCAATTTTTTTTGTTTTACCACATAGCTGGGCTTTGTTTCCAGAAGCACAAGAAAGTCAAGCACGCACAAACCTTTCACACTGAAGTTTGGTGGCCAATAGCTAGCGTTTTTTATCTGGAAGGGTGTATTTTAAACGCTTACGATCTGGAATAACCACAGTTAGAAATCACCATATCAAACGCTGCTCTGTTGGAATGAATGAAGCGAAGACTTTGGTTGGTTGGTCAACAAACTATTGCTGCTGCTGTTGTTGAAATAAAGACGAAAGACTTTTGGTGGGCACCCCAAAAGCCTGTAAAACCTTTACTAACCTTTTGGATGCTGGGTTTTATCATTTGACTATATTCTGCGTGACCTGCCTTCCACTATGTGATTTACCATCATCCTACGCCTGACGTACCAAGTAAAACAAAATTCAGAATATCGTAACAACACTCGTGCAGTTGAAAAGCTTGAGAAACTTGGACTTGAGGATGAATTATTATGTGCCATGGCCTGATCTAGATGAGCACGTAGCTGATATAACTTCTTCTCGCTGCCCCTCGGCACTCTGGCAAGACCTCGGTGGTGCTGAGGCAAAAGTGCTACCTTGTACTCACACTCCGATGTAAGTTCAGGAGGCCAAACCCTCAAGTCTGAACTGGAAGCGGCAGACGCTTCTTTGAGTGTTGATTCAAAGTTCAACAAAGTTTCAGGAAGAAGGTTAGCAAAGCTATTCCAGCAGCCGGGGAATAAAGTTAAACGATGCTCAGATGCTGATATAAATCTTGCATAGATGCGGTTACTCAACTTTCGCAAGATCTCAGAGCCTTGCGGCACAAAGGAGACTTTAGCTTCTGATTATGCCGCCGCTGTCTGGGCTCTTTGCATTTGCAGGACGGACTACAGCATGATCCTGTTCGTCCTTGGCAAACCATGCCTCACCTAAGCATCGTTGACGCTAGAAAGCGGGACTGGTAAGCGCGAGCTAGTCAATCAAAGAAGAAAGAACAAAGAAAAACGGAAGTGTGAGAGAAGCAGCTTCCACCCTGGGTTCCCTTTTGATCCAATGCGAGATGGGAGAAAAGGTGGTGGCGATATGAGGTTAGATAAATACTAGAGAGAGAAAAAGGAAGAAATCTCTCTAAATGTATCTGTTCCACGACACGAAGCACCACTGTAGAGTCTTTGGAGTTTCTACCCACAAAGAGCAGGCGGCAGAGACAATGGTCGTCGAGATCAAGGACAGTCAAGCAGTAGCAAAAGTTTGTTCTAAAAATAAATGTGATAAAAAAAGGTTTTTGTTTTGAAAGAAATAAATTCGATTTTCTTATAACTGTGTTGTGAACTTGACATGGAAAACAGAAGTTCCGATCCAGGATTCGGCATTTTGGCTATGCCGCCCTGTGGATGCATTGCAGAGCAACACAATGCTTTCTCCCCTTCGCTCGCAATGCTTTTGGTTTGTCCCCTGCAATCCTTCTTAGACTCGCACTGTCTTGTCCACAAATCCAAGATAAATTTTTCGATCTACCTCATAGCACTGTGTTATGAGAATCCTTTCATCTGGCTCCATAGTTTATGTATCGTGTGATGAGTTTTCCTCAAATGGAAGTGATTACAGCAGAAACATATGAGAATTGTTTTAATTTTGTACTTCACATCCAACTCTCACTTTACCTCCTCAAGCTTTATATTTTCCTCAGGAGCGGGTGGAAAGGGGCCATCTTGTTTTGACTTAGTCTCCAAATCAAGAACCACAGTATATGTAGATTGGATTTCACATAGCACGGGCTGTGTCATAACTGGATGGGGGTAAATAAGCCTAGGATGCCCAATGTATTGTTTGAATGCACGCCACATTGGCGTGTTGGGTGGTTTTGCTAAATCGTAGTTATGTTAATAAGCATATGATCCTTAAATAAATCCCCTTTTCAAAGTAAAAATTGAAAAGATTAAAACAAAGTTACTTAATAACACATACCACATGCTATTCACAGTATTGCGTCTTAAAATGTATTCAATCGTAGATAGGGCTAATTTTTTAGTTTTTCTTTTTGCAAAGGTTTGGTTGAATGGCTTTTGTAAAGAGTGTACACAAGGAGAAGTTATATAGTCTCATAATTATAGTTGAAATGCATAATTCAAAAAGAGAATAAAGAGAAATTTTCCATAGCTTTTTCTCTCAACAAGCAAACCGACAAATATCAATACTTTACAAAGAAGTTACTTATCATAATCCTATGATTGTCCTAAAAGAATGTTGAATAATTAAAAAACATTTATAAACTTTGTGGCACTATTATATAGGGCTTATTAGAAATCTAGTGGTTTTTTAATCTTAGGTTTACTAAAATGTTTAAAGATTATAAACACTTAAATGTTACACAACAGAATTGATGTTGGCTATTGATCATACAAGATAATATTCTTAGAATATTCTCAAACATGCCTAAATAAAAGTGGATAATAATTTTAGTTTTCATATTGTTAATTTTAATCACAATTTTAAAAGTTCTAATACTGTTATTACAAAATTGTGTTTGCAAATATTGAAAATTACATGTCGAAAAGTCCTTTCAAATATTCTTTTTTAATTGCCATAACAATAGGAGATCAATATTTCTAAACCTTTTATCAAACTCTATTGTGTTAGTGAAGATAATTTGGTATTTTGATTGTATTTAGACAAGATGAACATAAAGATGGAATTTATACATGCTATTAATTAAACATACTTAGCGTGGTAAAGAGTTCTAATCTTGTTATATCTTTTATTTGCTAGTAATAAGAACCCTTGCATATTAAGCACTAGTCTTTTAATATTGCTACATGATAGTTTATTGTGTGTTGTTATCATGCCTTATGTATTGGTTTTGTTTAGTCCCATTAATTATTTATGGAAAATGCCTAAATTTGCTAGTTAGGTATATCTATGAAATATAGAAATTGTTCTAAACATAATAATGCTATTCCCATGAGTAAATTTGTAATAAATTGTCTCAAAGATTAACTTTTAATATTGGGGTGAAAGCCCAAAGCATATGTTAATATAGGAGGGGGTGGTTTCTTGTGGGGGATAGTAGGGATAATGGGTAGGTTAGGTATGGTTGATCAATTTAAGACATAGTGCAACTCTTTGTTTACATGCATATCCTTGTTTATGTTTGGCTTAGGTTTAGTTTTAAACTCCATACTATACAAATTAGTGGAGTATCCATATCCCTTGTGTTAGGCCACTGAGATGCTAAGATAATATAAAAAATTTATTTGGCTCTGTTTTGCATGCTATTCTTGGCATTAAGATATTATTTTAACCAATTGAAAAAAAAAAAGGTGCATTTTTGTTTATGGGCTCTTTCCTTCTATATTTAAGCCCCAATGAATTATCTCTCAAATCAATTTTTTTTAGTTGTTTAATGCTTTAGAATTGTTTCAATGTCGCTTAATATTTTTGTTTTATTCGCTTTTTAAACTATACATTCAAGGGCCATTTTGTGTTCTAGTTATTTTGCTCCTTAGTTGTATGCTCAAGAGTTTAGCTCCGTCCCTTTGTTTAGTGACTTAAAGTCTTAAAATTTAAATTTCGCTTTGTTCATTTACTAAAGTAAAACATTTATTAAATTTTGTAAACACATAGCTAAAAGGAACAAAAGAACGGAACTAAATTCTTGAGTATGCAACTAAAGAGCAAAGGAACTAAAACACAGAATAACCCTTGAATGTATAACTTAAAAATCGAAAGGATAAAAATACTAAGTGACGTTGAAACAATTTTACAACATCAAATAACCAAAAGGAATGATTTGATAGATAATTCATTAGGGTTTAAATATACAAGGTTCCACTCCATGGTTATCTTATGGTAAATCATAATATAGTAAAGAGTGAAAACTATATATGCTACAAAAATATTATTATATTTTTATTAATTTTAGTTAATTTCTTTTCTATTGTACTTATTATTTACATTATTATTTATTTTTAAACTTTTAAGAATAAATTTAATTAAATTAAGATTTTTTATTAAAATATATATCAATAAGCTTTATTCAAGTATAGTGTGATTTAATTAAGTATTTATATTTATTACTATATTTATAAGACACTAACAATTTTTTTAATAAAATAACACTAAATCTATAAATTTTACTATAACTTATAATATATAAAATATTCTAAGAATAATTTAAAATAAATATTTTTATAATTATAAAATATATATCTAGTTTATTTTTTAAAGGCTTAAAATATTATTTTTAAAACTTAATCTATTTAGTGTTGTATTTATATAATAATATTACTCAATGATTTTAATTAATATCTCATACTCTTTCAATTAGTCCTAGTCAACTGGTGGTCAATGGGCATGGCATATATAATACAAAGTATTCATATATATTTACTTAATGACTATATGTCAATTAAATATATTAATCAAATTATTATATTATAAGGTTTATATAAATCTTTTAATGTTTTTCCAAAATTTTTAAAGATTTTTTGGAAGCTAAAGTTGAATAATTTGCATTGGGACTTTTAAAATATTATTTTTTAATATAAATATTAATAGATATATTAAATTATTTTGAGTTACAAGTATGTAAGTGTGAGTGGGGAATGAGTTGCTAATGGTGATGCCACTTGGTAACTACTAGTATTTATTTTGGGAAAATTAAATATTTAATAAATTTAATATAATAAAGAAGAAATCTTAATATATGCCATATTTTAATTTAAGATATGCACTATAATTTTATTGATAGTTCTATCAATGTTATGTCATTGAACTATGTTATATTGAACTATAATTGAACTATCAATGTCAATAACAATAATAAAAATTCTAAAATTATAAATTATAGAAACGAAAAGGAGGAGCAAACCCTTTCTTATGAATGCACATTATGGTTATATAATATCAACATACCAAGAGAACTCAAACTCTTAAATCGTTTCTGAGCTTGCTGAAGAAAATGCGTCCTTACCTACCATGTTGCTGAGAAGGTAAGAAAATTTAGTGTAAGCTCCTGAAATTATCGCCATCCTTCCAAAATCTGGGTGGGGCAGTGAGTAAGCAGCAGATTCTTTAGACAAAAGGTGGCGTCCGTACCATGCCTCGTTTTGACTCGTACCAAAGCCTAGATTGTTGTTAAAGTGCTTGGATGCACGCTACAGATTTCTCAAACATAGACTCAATGCACAGTTCTTAGAGCTGAGCTGACAAAATACAATAGGCAAATCCAGTTTCGATGTACGTAGAGCAGTGGCAAGTCCATCAAAAACCATGGTGCCATGGACACCGGTGACCGCGCCTGGAGACGTTCCATAGCCTTTTTCTTCCAGGTTCTTGGCCCTGCCATCAGTCGAACTTGCTGGGAATGCCCCTGTACAGCTCCACCTTGTCCTTGACGTATTTCTGACAAGAAAGCGCCACTTTGTTGCGAGGATCGAACTGTAAAGTCTGCTCGTAGGCCTTCAGAGCCCGTTTCCAGTCCTTCCGCTTCTCGTAAGAGCTTCCCAGGTTGTTCCAGGCCACAGTATAGCCTGGGGACAAGGTCACTGCTTTCTCGTAGTGGGAGATAGCCTGCTCGACCTTGTTCTCGCTGAAGTACGCGAAACCAAGAGCATTGTACACCTGGAAAGGAGAAACGAAACTCCTGAATAAAAAGAAAGCAACACACAAACAAGCAAGAATGCAAGACTTTATACCTGTGCTAGTTCTTGCTCATCGTCCTCCCATTTCTTTATGGCTTGTTCCAAGTATTTTCTGGCAACGGGATACAGCTTCTTACGCAGCATCACGGCTCCAAGTTCGTAGTATTCCACCGGAGTTGCCTGACTCGTTCTCACACGCTCCTGGCAGAATCGAAAACAAAAAAAAAAAAAATGATGAGTAGGCTAAGGAAGAGTCGAAGAATCCATATCAGACCAGCAACTCCTTTGCGGCCATTTCGAGTTCTCGGCGGACGAGAATTTGCCGGATGACGAAGAAGCCACCACCTCCAAGTAGGAGCAACACTCCCCCGAGGTAAGCATACTGGAATCCAGTCTCTGCGAGCGAGACACTGATCTCTCCAACACTTCGATTTCCAGCAGCGTGGGCAACACCGGTTTGTAACAATGGAGCAAAGGTGACAAGATTTTGAGCGATGCGAAGATCTGCAGCGGAAACCATTCTTTCCATCGTCAGAAAAGCAAGAACGAAATGAGAAAAACTTCATCGAAGAAATCGATATCATCGATGGAAAAACATCGAGGAAAGAGAGAACACGAACTTGGCGAAGAATCCACAAGACACCTTGCCTGAGAAGAAGAAAAATGAAATCCTATTATTTTTCCAATCCATAGCCTACATTCTTCCCACATACCTCGCAAAACTTTCCGACTCTTCTCGGCTTGGCACAAAATCTCCTCCGCTGCGCACAAACACTACTCCTGATCGACGCCGCCTCGTCCAGCGAGCCGCGAAGCCCTAGCAACGAGGCTCCACTGCTGGAGCACGCCATAGCTGGGGTTTAAAAAAATCTAAAGGTTCCAGCAACAAGATAGACCATGGCGTACCGCGCGTCACTTCTAGCACCGCCATACTACCGCGCGTCACTAAATCCATTTAGAAAGTCCTGTTCCAAGCTCAAAAACAAGGGAGAGAAAGAAAAGCTGGAAAAGAACACTATAAATTCGGTGCTATATAAAATCCCTGCCCATGATCACGAGGAATATAGACGTCTTCGAGGTGTTCTTCGGGAGAATCTCTCCAAAGTTCTTGGAGAGGAAAATATAGAAGAATAGCCGAGCGATCGATCCACTAGCTAGGCACAAAATCGTGCAGCAGCTGGCTCTCCATATGCTTCCTGCTCGCGTAGTTCATCCCGTCGTGCAACCCCGCCGCCGCCGCCGCCGCCGCATTGTCGTACAAGCTGGAGAAATCATCGCCGCCGCCACCTCCACCACCTCCGCCGCCACCGCCGCCACGAGCCAGCGCGTGGAATCCCTGCGGTTGCAAGTAGGCTGCCGCCGCCGCCGCCGCGTGAGGATGGATCACTCCTCCCAAGCTGCTGTCACTGTGCTGGAGTCCCAGAGTGAGAGATACTCCACCTCCCGGCGAAGGATTTAAGTTGTATCGAAAGCCTGGATTGGCGGGGGAGAAGCGGAGGCTCTGGTCGTGGTATCCTCCGCCGCCGCCACCTCCATAGCCGTGGACTCCCAAGCTATCATCGCTCTCCGGCTTCATGTCCACTTCCATATGGTGGTGTACAAAGTCCGCCGAGGATGGATCGTGGTACCTGGATTTCTTGAGCTGCTGGTGGTGCTGGACGCTGGAATCCTCGTACAAATCCGCTGGAGACGATCCGACCACCATGTTTTGCTGCTGCTGCTTCCGGAGCCCCGGATTGTAGTCGACCGGGCTGGTCTCGTGGATGAAGTCCTGCTCCGAGTGATCCATGGACATGAGCTTCCCCGACTTGGGATCGGTGAGAGCGTCACTGCTGTTCTTGAGCTCGTTTTCCTCGCTCGCGGCTTGCATCCGCGCCACCGCCGCGTCCAGCTCGTGATCTCTCGTTTCTTCCTGGTACATCTCCTCCACCATTGGCTTCCATAGCCTCACTCGAGCGTTGATGAACCAGTTGGACACCTGTGATCGCGATAAGTGTCAGTCGATACTCAGTTATTTGGAAGTTTAGCTCCAAGAACATTGGAGCATTAAAGTTCCGGGAACTTTGGGAGAGGAAACTACCTGACTTCTTGTTAGACCAGTCTGCCTCGCTAGCATCATCTTGTCCGCGTCTTTGGGATACCTGGAAAATCCAGCAAAGTTAGCTTCGCTCGAGCGTTACACAAGAACACTTAATTGCTCGGTCGATCCATGCATGCATCACGTCAAACATTTCTACTTCCAGGAAGCGACAATCGCCCGCAAATCTAGCAATCACTCAGTCAGGGACCAATCAAGCAGCACCAAACATTCCAAGCTCCAACTTTCGAGGAAGAGCAAAAGCCAAACAAAAACTTACGGATGGAGGAAGTGCTCAAAGAGCCAAGCTCGCAAGATCGAAACCGATCGCTCGGGGAGTCCTCGCTGCGGCCTCCAGGCGTGCTGGTTGAGCATCCCGAGCTGCTGGAACGCGCGCTGCTGCCGGATCTGCTGGTCGATGAAGCGGAGCCGGGAAGTGGGGCTCTTGGTGGTGATCTGCTTGGAGATGTCCTCCTCGCCCAGGGACTTGCAAACCAGCGAGATTTGCCCCGTGATGGCGTCCTTCAGGCACCGAAAGTAGCGAGACATGGCTTGCAACGCGAGAGCCGTGTAGGGAGTGGCCGCTCCAACGCCGGCCACCGCATCAAACGAGCTGATCACCACTTGCATTTGATCGTAGTACTGCCGGTATCTCCGATCCACCTGCCAAGAAAAACAGAACGTTTTAGCTCGATCCAAATCACGCATGGGAAAAGTTCGTCACCTCTTGGAGCATGCCGATGAGCTTGGATTTCTTCGTCTCAAGCTCCTGCTTCTCCTCGGCGCTCAGCGCGCTCGTCGACTCCACTCCACCTTCGATCGAGCTTGGGGCCGCTGCCGCAGACGCTGTTCCAGTCCCACTCGTGGTAGCACCCCCAGCTCCTCCAGTTCCAGGCGCGGTTTTAGCTCCTCCGCCACCCGGTGAACTGGAGCTTACGGCGGTATTGTTTCCAGCGCTCACGCAAGCATCCTTCTCGTTGGAAAGTTCTTGAGATGACCCCGCAGCCGGAGCTGGAGCGCTTTGATCTTTGCTCGTCGTCGGTGCTGGATTGTTGTTCGCCGGAGCACTAGGAGTAGTAGCAGATGTCGGGCTTGTGAGAGGACTCGCCGCTCCTCCTCCGCCGCCCCCCGCCGCTGTCCATCCCTGAGAGTTGGATGGTTTGCTCTTTTGCTTGCCACCTCTTCCAACGCTGCAAACTTCCTCTAAGAGCTGCTGGCAAGCCTTGAGGTAGCGGCTGCTGGAGATGATGTTAAAGCTGGCGGACATGGCCGGAGTGGCGCTGGCGGCGTCCGGGACCTTGGGAGCGGCGGCGCCGCCAATAAAATCCCGCCGGAAGTGGCTCAAGTCCGCCGCCAGCTTGGATCGCTTGCTGTCTGCCTGGTGATCCTGGCCGTGATCCAGCCCCGACTGCTGGATCACGTCGAAAGCGTTGAGCGGCGGCGGCTGCTGGGAGGAGAGCGAGAGCGAGAGGCCCTGGAAGACTCCACCGCCGCCACCGCCGGCGGCGCCACCCGGGGCTTGCGAGGAGAGATGGTCTTGCATCTGGTGGAACGCCGCCGCCGCCGCCGCGTGCTGGTGGTAGTCGGAGAAGTCGCTTACGTCCATCGACGTCTTGGCGGCGCGCTCGCTCCCGGGCATGAAAACCAGCTCGTCGCCACTCTTCCAGCTCGAGAAGTGCGATCCTCCGCCACCATTTCCACTTCCACCACGGTACGCCACCGGAGAGTTCGACACGGACGTAACTTGCGAGGTCTGGGAGAGTGAGTTTTGCGAGCTGTGGAGCGGCACTCCAATGGGAGTCTGCGACGCCGCCGGCCCCGGGATGAAAACCATGCTCCCGGGAGCTCCCGCCGCCGCCTGAGCCGGCGGTCCATCTCCAGAACTGGCGGCGAATCCGCCGTATCCGGCAGCAGCCGCCGCCGCCGCCGCGTTCATGAGATAGAGCTGCATTGCCTCCTGCGAGTTTGGAGCCCCGCCGCCGCCGCCGGTCGCAAAGTAAGCGCTCAGGTCCCGCCCGGTCGTGCTTCCAAACGTTTGCTGCATGCTCATATTGTTCGCGGCAAAGCCACCGCCGCCAGGCCATGCAGCTCCTCCGCCACCTTTTCCAAGAACGTTGGAGTTG